AGGTTACCATGGCAAGGAACTGCCGGTTCCCAGACCTTGAAACTTACGGTTCCCAACCTGGGAACCAGAGGTTACCATTGCAAGGAATTGCCGGTTCCCAGAAGTTAGAATTTATGTTTTCGAAGCTAAGCAACTATCATTGTAAGGAATTGCCGGTTGCGAAAGCTTGAAACTCATGGTTCCAAACCTCAAAAAGCATACGTTACCAGTGGAAGGATCTGTTGATTCCAAAAAGTTCGAACTAATGGTTCTTAATGTTGTTTTGTTTTGTTTACTGAGCCGGTAACAGGGCCTTTTGTTTTGCTTAATGGACCGGTAGTGGAATGTTTGCGTTCGGCTGCCGGGCCGGCATAAATGTCTTTGCACGAAAAAGGTGCATGTCAAAATGATATGAAAACATTTTCTTTACAACTTTATGGTTTTGCTTAATGGACCGGTAAAGAACGCTTTGTTTTGCTTAATGGACCGGTACCAGAATGTTTGCGTTTGGTTCATGGCAAGGAACTGCCGGTTCCCAAAGGTTGGAACTCACGGTTGCCAACGTGGGAACCACAGGTTACCATTGCAAGGAACTGCCGGTTCCCACAGGTTGGAACTCCTGGTTCCCAACCTGGGAACCAGAGGTTACCATTGCAAGCAACTGCCGGTTCCCAGAGGTTGGAACTCATGCTTCCCAACCTGGGAACCATAGGTTACCATTGCAAAGAACTTCCAGTTCCTAAAGCTTGGAACTGATGGTTCCCAACGTGGGAACCAAAGCACAGCACGCTGCACAGCACCCTGCACAGCACCCTGCACAGCACCTTTCACAGCACCCTTCACAGCATCCTGCATAGCACCTTTGCGAGACTTCGCCACCGCAGTCTGGATAGCAGCGTGCACAGCACCCTGCACAGCACCCTGCACAGCACCCCGCACAGCACCCTGCACAGCACCCTGCACAGCACCCTGCAAAGTACCCTGCACAGCACCCTGCACAGCACCTTTGCCAGACTTCGCCACCGCAGTCTAGACAAAACCTGCGTAGCAAACTGCACAGCACCCTGCAGAGCACCCTGCACAGCACCCTGCACAGCACCCTGCACAGCACCCTGCACAGCACCTTTGCCAGACTTCGCCACTGCAGTCTGGACACGACCCTGCACAGCAATTTTGCCAGACTTCGCCACCGCAGTCTGGACAGCACCCTGCACAGCACCCTGCACAGCACCTCTGCCAGACTTCGCCACTGCAGTCTGAAGAGCACTCGCCACTGCAGTCTGGACAGCACCCTGCACAGCACCCTGCACAGCACCCTGCACAGCCCCCCTGCACAGCACCCTGCACAGCACCTTTGCCAGACTTCGCCACCGCAGTCTGGACAGCACCTTGCACAGCACCCTGCACAGCACCTTTGCCAGACTTCGCCACCGCACTCTGGACAACACCCTGCAGAGCACCCTGCACAGCACCCTGCACAGCACCTTTGCCAGACTTCGCCACCGCACTCTGGACAACACCCTGCAGAGCACCCTGCACAGCACCTTTGCCATACTTCGCCACCGCAGTCCTGCACAGCACCCTGCGCAGGATTGTGCACAGCACCTTTGCCAGACTTCGCCACCGCAGTCTGGACAGCACCCTGCAGAGCACCCTGCACAGCACCCTGCACAGCACCTTTGCCAGACTTCGCCACCGCAGTCTGGACAGCACCCTGCACAGCACCTTTGCCAGCGAAGTTCACCGCACTCGGACAACGCCCTGAGAGCACCTGCACAGCACCCTGCACAGCACCTTTCCAGGACTTCGACCAAAGCACCCTGCATTGCCAGACTTGGCCACCGCAACTATGAGACAACACGCTTGCCAGAGACCCCTGCACAGCACCTTTTGCAGACTTCGCCACCGCGTCTGGACAACACCCTGCACAGCACCCTGCACAGCACCCTGCACAGCACTCTTCACAGCACCCTGCACAGCACCCTGCACAGCACCTTTGCCAGACTTCGCCACCGCAGTCTGGACAGCACCCTGCTCAGCACCCTGCACAGCACCTTTGCGAGACTTCGCCACCGCAGTCTGGACAACACCCTGCACAGCACCCTGCACAGCACCTTTGCCAGACTTCGCCACCGCAGTCTGAACAACACCCTGCACAGCACCCTGCACAGCACCTTTGCCAGACTTCGCCACCGCAGACTGGACAGCACCCTGCACAGCACCCTGCACAGCACCCTGGCTCAAAAGTTCGCCACCGGAGACCCCACCTTAGAGAAGTAAGAACCCCTATAGCTTGCCAGCTATCTGGGGAAAAAGACAAACAAAAAACACCGCCGTCAAACTTCATTGTCTTCGCTCAGCTCAAATCAAAACAGGGAGGACCGTAAAGTCCAATCAAATAAAAACCCACCCGAGAACAATCGAAAAACCAACAAACAAAAAGAAAAAACAGAACACTTCAAAAAGAAAAAAGCAGACACAAGCAGACGCAGCAGCAGTAAGCGCAACGGCAGCCGTGCAGCAGCTAGCAGCACGAAAAATTGTGTTTTTCTAGGATGGCACCAATGGGTGTCAAGAACGTGGGCAAGAGCACGCAAAAGGTGCACATAGCCAGTAGCTAGCAGCCAGCGCCAGTAGCAGCCAGCAGCCAGTAGCCAGTCAGCCTACCAAAAATCTAGATTTTTCTAGGATTTCAGACGACACGTTAGGCACTTTTTTGGCGTGGTTCTGGCACTCGCTCGTCCTTCAGAGCCCTGGTGTTTTCCCCCCCGGGAGGTGATTTTTTCGAACCTGTTTTACTGCTAGCAGCCGCCAGCAACAGAATCTATCCAAAAATTGTGTTTTTCTAGGGTGTCAGACGACACATTAGGCACTTCTATATATCTTGTATATATTTCTATAGGGTTTCAAACGTGACGTTTGGCAGTTTTCTCGTTTATATAGCACCAATGGGTGTCAAGAACGTGGGCAAGAGCACGCAAAAGGTGCCAGCACGACAGCAGCACCACAGCAGCAGCAGCCACCAGCAGCAGCACCAGCAGCAGGCAGCAGGCCGCCGCAGGCAGCAGCAGGCAGCAGCAAGCATCAGTAGGCAGCAGCAGACACAAGCAGACGCAGCAGCAGTACGCGCAACGGCAGCAGTGCAGCAGCTAGCAGCACTGCCAGCAACAGAATCTATCGAAAAATTGCGTTTTTCCAAGCAGACGCAGCAGCAGTAAGCGCAACGGCAGCAGTGCAGCAGCTAGCAGCACGAAAAATTGTGTTTTTCTAGGATGGCAT